GACCAGTTGCCATCCAAGGCTATAGAACCCAGTCTGTCCTGCTATTTTACCCATAGCTGGAGGGAGAGGAAGAGGAAGAGGATTCATACCTTTAAAAAAGGGTATTAGCACGTAAGTGAATGTAATGGATTCGACTGGAATTCGAACTCGGCTCTTCGATTCCTCATTCCAAAGCCGCTATCCATTACTCAACCGTGTGTGCGTGTGTGTGTGTGTGTGTGTGTGTGTGTGTGTGTGTGTGTGTGTGTGTGTGTATATATATATATATATATATATATATATATATATATATATATATATATATATATATATATATATAAACAAGTGAACATTGAAGTCAACACTTAAGGCGACAGACTGTTTCATGCTAAACGCAATCATGATAACTGCGTCCAGCATGAAACAGCCTGTTACCTCTGAGTGTTGACTTCAATCATTCACTTTTATATTTACATAAACTCTATCTCTGATATTGAGCACTTTATCCCATAAATATAGCACACCTTAAAACCATATTTCTTCATATATATATATATATATATATATATATATATATATATATATATATATATATATGGATATGTAGATAGATAGATCGATAGATAGATATATGTACGAGGTCTGTCTAAAAATTAACGAAAATGCCTGTGCTGTGTGACCTCTGTATGAAAGAGGCATAAGCAGATTGTTTTATCATCTACCAAGATATCTTGGAAGTATATAACTGTAATCTTAGCTTTCTGCTTTTTCTACTTGCTTTTGTGTCAGGACAAATCGTGGCTGCATCACCACGACAATGCACCTGCTCACACCGCCCTGAGTATCTGGTAGTTCATGACCGAGAAGAACCTTGCTGTACCTGATCTTGCCCCTTGAGACTTTTCTCTTTTCATCAAGCTCAAGGAGAACATCCAGTGGACCTGTTTTGAAGGTGTTGAGGCCATCAAGAGGCCCATAAGCGACGGAGCTGAGCGAAATCCAAGAAAAAGTCTTCCAGCAGCGCATAGAAGCGCGACAGAGAAGGATGGAAAAGTGCATTAAATTCGAGAAGGGATTACTTTGAAGGGGAAACCATGTAGTTTCATGTTTAGAATTGAAATAAATTGTTCATGACACCTGTTTTCTTACTTTTCAGTTAGATTTCTTATATATATATATATATATATATATATATATATATATATATATATATATATATATTCATTTCATTGAAAACGACAGACAAGATGCTTTTATTTAGTTTTTTTATACAATTTCTCATGCATTCTAATATTTTTTTTCTTTTTGGGTGATAAATTATATAAAAACTGTCCGAATGTTGTTCTTTATCCGAGCGCTTTCGGCTATACATTTAGCGATTCAGACAGTTTTTATATAATTTATCATCCGAAAAGAAAAAAAAAAATATTATATCGCATGAGAAATTGTATAAAACACTAAATAAAAGCACCTTGTTTGTCGTTTTCAATGAAATGTGCATCAAAGAAGGATTGCTGCTTAAATACACACACACACACACACACACATACACACACACACATATATATATAGTGAGATAGATAGATAGATATAGATATATATATGTAATTATTTATTTTAGGAAACTAAAACAAAAACATGTCGGATGAGGAGACACATTTATGGTGTTGAAACATGATTGCAACCGTGTAGCGATTTTTAACATGTTTTTGTTTTAATAGCCTAAAATAAATTATATTTAGCTCTACTCCGTATTGAGCCTTCTTTTAAATTAAATGTTACTGACAGAATTATATTATTTTACCGATTATAATTTATATATATATATATATATATATATATATATATATATATATATATATATCCTCTCTAAACTCGATTATGTCTCTCACACCATTCCTCACCACCTTTTGTGTCAACGTATATAAGCTTAATACTGCCCGTCAAATGTATAAATTCTAAATTCATTTTTCGTTTCACCTATTAAAAGTGAAGTCTGAAGGTCCAGAGAAAAATAAAATTCTCTGGTGAAATAAATTATTACAAATGGAATCTTAAAGTGATCTGTTTTTCTTTTATATATATATATATATATATATATATATATATATATATATATATATATATATATTAGTTGCATTGATGTGAGGTTTTGACACTGGGTTTTACGCCCTTGTGATCGTCAGAAAACTGATTTATATATATAAATAAAAAGAACAGACAGATTAAGAATCCACAGTTCTTAGATTGGTAACAGTAAAGTCAGTTGTAGATTTATCTAAAGTGTCAATTTATCTAGACATGTTGAAATAACCCACCCACCTCCAAATGCTGACCTTATTTTTCATTTTTCTATTCCAGTTCTAATCCCTCTTCTGATTGGTGATTCAAGACATGCCCACAACTGTCGTTTTTAATTTTGGAATTTTGGTTTTCCCCCACCTTTTTAACTCTCTAATATGCTACCAGATTTTTTTCTGATTTCCCAAGTAAATCATTTTCATAATGTTAGCTAATATTGCCTTATGAGGGACAATTTTAAAGTCCCGAAACATGGAAATTTTTGTGTAGCGGTGTAAAATATTATAAAAAATAATATATATACGAGGGTCATTCAATAAATAAGGTGTTTTTTATACAGATACAGATAGAAGCTTTTTTTTATTATCAACGTAGTCTCCCAGCACTGTCACACACTTTTCCGATCTGTGCACAAGCTTCCGTATTTCCTCAGCGTAAAAATCTTTGGACTGATGCCTCAGCCAGTCGCTCACAACACTTTTGACTTCATCATCACTTTTAAACTTCGTGCCTCTCGTGAACGCTTTCAAGGGACCAAACAGGTGAAAGTCTGAAGGGGCAAGGTCTGGGCTGTAAGGGGGATGAGGGAGCAGTTCCCAGCCCAGCTCGTTGATGGTCTGCACCGTTTGGGCTGCTGTGTGAGGCCTTGCGGTGTCATGATGCAAGATAACTCCTTCTGACTGATGACCCCTGCGTTTGTTCTTTATGTCTTTCTTGGCCTGCCTCAGCAGTTCACAGTAGTTCTTCTGTCAGACTGAATGAGGTCATTCACTGATTCGATCATCTCAGGAGACCTCACTTCTGTAGGCCTCCCAGGCCATCTTCATCCTCAACACTGCTCCATCCTTCTTTAAACAATTTAGCCCCCTTGTAGACATTTTTTGGCTGAAACACGTGGCACCATACACAGTTGATATTCTCCTATGAATTTCAACTGGTTTGCACCCTTCAGCAACCAAAAACTTCATAACTGACCGCTGTTCAATCCTGGAGCATGCTTCTTGGTCGGCCATCTTTGTTAATCGCCAAAACTCTCAAATTTTTTTTTTAATCTGCAAAAGAAATTAAATCCATGTGAAAAAGAAGTAAAACAAAAAAAGAAAAAGAAAAAAGAAGTAAGCTTCTATCTGTATTAGAAGTCCCTATACCGAAAAATTCACCTTATTTATTGAATGACCCTCATATATATATATATAAAAGTGAACATTCAATTCAACACTTAGAGGCGACAGGCTGTTTCATGCTAGACGCAATCGACAGGACACGAGACTCACACGTGGCCTGATGATTGCGTCTAGCATGAAACAGCCTGTCGCCACTAAGTGTTGACTTCTAAGTTCACATTTATATTACGTAAGCTCTATCTCTGATATTGAGCACTTTATCCCATAAATATAGCATATCATAAGACTATATTTCTTCATATATATGTATATACATATATAATATTATTTTTAATATTTTACATATATATATATATATATATATATATATATATATATATATATATTGACTTAAACGTTTTTTTTAGTAGATACTCTTATTTGAGTAGACACTGCGTTTGATTTTAAAGAGTATTTACTTCGTCTAACGGACTATTTCGCTATTTCAGCGCGCCTCTGGATTTCGTTTTTTACTTGCATCATTTTGCTACCTTCAGTTGGTAATTCGCCTCTTGAGAAGTTCCTTTTTTTTGACAACCATAAATTCTGTTTTCTTACAATTGATACTTAGTGCTTTCTTAGTTTTCGGAGGAGATCAAAAGTACTTGGATAGAAAAAAAATTACGGTGCCTTCCTTGATGAATTTCATTTTAACATCAAGAAACAGATTAAAGAACTAGAAAGCATTACTATAAATGTATATATTATTTAAGGAAATATGAAGATAGAGCTTATATATATATATATATATATATTTTATATATATATATATATATATATATATATATATATATATATATAAGACATTTTATGTTTATACATTCTTTTTATAGATACAAATATTTAAGTAAATGCTCTGTTTATAATAAACAGTATTAATAACATTTACCGGCCTGAATGTCCGAGGAATTTTCATAGAAATATTCGTCCTCCGACAGGATTCAAACTTGTGTGCTATACGGAACTGTTATATAGCCTGACGTGCCTTAACCGATTGAGCCACAGAGGAACCATGGAAGATTGTAGGTTTAAAAGCAGTAAAATTGACCTTGCTAATGATCCTCTGTGGCTCAATCGGTTAAGGCACATCAGGCTATAATAGTTGTACTATGAATCACAGGTTAGTGTTGTGGGAGTTGAAGAGAAACAAACGCGATTGAGCAGGCTCCTGCAACATGGATTAACTAGCAATCCTAGAAGGATATATAGTGAAATGAACAACCAGGCATTATATCATGTATGTATCAGTATCTACTTCTATATGTGATTATGTATGTATATATGAAGAAACCTAGACACAGAGAGGGACTGAGAGACAGAGAGAGACAGAGAGAGACCAAATATGTTTCCCTTACAGCGACAGAAATTAATCATATCTAAAAAAGAAAAAGGAAGTAGTACATATCTGTGAAAAAAAACGAAAATAGTACCAACGCTTTATTACAAAGATTGTGTCCTAAATCCGAAAAAAAAAACATCGAATAAAAAAGAAATATTGCGTCGACGTTTGGGAGTGAATGGTGATACCTTGGGCAAATTTTGTACGTCCAAAATTCGATGTTATTTGTGTCGCGAAACGTAGCGAGTGACATCGTCGTTCCTGTAAAACCAACAAATAATTTGTGGATTTTGCCGAGGCATAGTCGTGTCAAAGACACAAAGCAAAAGCTAACGTCTGGTTTTAACAACGTTCAACATTTTTTACAAATAGAATTCCTTTTATAATTCAACGATTTGCGCAGCTATTTATTTTTATGAATGCTTAATTTGAATGCTATTTAATAAGTCCAATCTTGCCAGTAAAGACAGGCATATACACAGACACATAAATACACACAGGTGCGCACATACACATACGCACACGTATTATATTAACGTTTTACTATTGTTGTCAAGATCTTTCATCGAATATATTCTTTCTTTCTTTTTCTTTTATTCTCTTTCAGTTTTCTTTTCTTTCTTTGACGTTATATTTCTCGATGCAAGATGCAACTTTCCTTTTGTCTAAGCTTAATTTTTTTCTTTCTTTCTTTCTTTCTTTCTTTCTTTCTGTTATGTGTCTCTGCCAGTTATTTCTATCTTGCTCTCCAACACACAATAGAGACCGGATAGAGAGAGAGAGAAAGAGAGAGAGAGAGAGAGAGAGAGAGAGAGAGAGAGAATTATCTCTCTCAGGTTTTCCTCCTGCACACACACAGTTCCGCCTTAGCACTCATATAGTTCCCACCTCTTATAAACTGAAATGATTTCTGTCACAGGTACCCCCACTCTGTCTGACTTTCTCTCTGTCTGACTTTCTCTCTGTCTGAGTTTCTGTCTGTCTGTTTGTCTATATCTGTCTCTTTCTATCTATCTATCTATATATCTATCTATCTCAAACTCTCATACACAACAGACGCACACACACACACACACACAACCCCACCTCTATCTGCCTTATTAGATTGTCTCTGTCTCTCATAGGCGTTTTCTTCCTGATGTGTCACTCAATCATCCGTTCCGCCAGCACACTTCATTCGCTTACCACTGGATGGATGCATTCCCACTCACACATGCACGCAAATACTCTCTCTCTCTCTCTCCCTCCCTCCTTAGTTTCCTGCCTCTCTGTTCATAGCTTTCTTCTCTCTCTCTCTCTCTCTTTGTTCATATTGTCTTTCTCTATCTAGCTTTCCTTCAGTCACTTACAGCCACAGACACAAATGGCGTGTCTTCTTCACACCTTTCTAGAGAGATAGAGGGAAGAGAAATTAAAACTAAGAAATATATATATATATATATATATATATATATATATATATATATATATATATATATATGAATAGACTGAGAGATAGATCGATAAATAGATAGACATATATATGAAAAGGTTGAGATAGATTGATAGTTGTACAGAGAAATATGAACAGACTAAGGTAGATTGATATATATATATATATATATATATATATATATAGATAGATAGATAGATAGATAGATAGATAGATAGATAGATATGACAAGACTCAGATAGATAACAGACTAAGAGAGAGAGAGATTTTGAGTTGAGCAGTGATAAATTAAAGATAGTGGACTAATACGAATAGATAGATAGATAAATAAAATAAATAATTAGGAGAATAAGATAGATAGATAGATAGATAGATAGATAGATAGAAGATAATAGATAGATAGATGGATAGACAAGAATAGATAGATAACAGAGAGAGAGAGAGAATTAGAGCGAGTGATAAATTAAAGACCAAGTGGACTAGATACGAATAGATAGATAGATAGATAGATAGATAGATATTGAATAGACTGGGATAGATAGATAGATAGATAGATAGATAGATAGATAGATAGATAGATAGATAGATAGATAGACAGATAGATAGATAGATAGATAGATAGGTTAGTATTGTCGTAGAAATTAACAACAAATTCATTAATAATTGGATAGCAACAGACTGGAGTTTGATAAAAAAAAAAATGTAATGGTACAAATAAACCAAACAGCTGTCCATCAATGTGACAATGCTGGTCCTCCATAGCTTTTTCTTAAAGGCTACCTTCAATGCCTGGTGTCGTCTGAGAGGTCCAATTATCTTTGGAAACATTTGACATACCAGATCGAAGAGACACTGTAGATAAGATAATCTATAATTGGACATTACTGCTTCTTCCCTATCACATTTCATTAAATCTCTCTCATAACAGTCTCTCTTCACCATTCTCTCTCTGTCTCTACATTTTTTAACTCTTTCTCTCTCAATCTGCCTTTCACACACACACACACGCACACAGTACAAAGAAGCACATTTTATTGTTTTTTGGCGTCTTTCTTGTATGTGTTTTTTTTTATTTTTTATTCCTTATTTACGACTCTGTTTAGGTCAATCCATGACGAGTTAGTCTTTATAAATAATAATGTGTGGAAGATTCAAATTGCTTTCGTTTTCATATTACAGCTGAAGTGTTGTCGGTTTTTCCATTAAAATTGGCCCACTTTCGAATCAGTAATAAGCAGTCTTTCTTTTCGAAGAAATCAATTTCGTTTCTCTTATACTCAAAAAGAAGGGGGAGAAAGTCACTTTCAATACAATCCACCAACTTTTCTTTCTTTCTTTCTTCCTTTCTTTCTTTTTTTACTCTGTTATTTTTTCGTGTATAATAAGTACGCTCGCTTTGGGCGACAATTTTCTTAGAAAGAAAAGCATTTTTCGTGTATAATACGCATTGTCATTTTAGAATGTGTAGAAACTAAACTTTTCCAATATTTTTCGTCACTTTCGTATCTATTAAAAATAAGAATATGTGTAGTTCGAATTATGCTTCTTCAATAAAATTTACGCTACATTTAGAACAATCGACCAGAATTTTTATATGTCAATACGAGTCGATAGTCACCTATCGTGCAGTTAACACTCATCCTCGGTCTTTTGAGCAGGAGTACAAGTTTATCTCTTGTTTCCTATTTAGGATTGTGTTTCCGGTTCCTTCTAAACAATTTTCATTCTCTTCAACTCCCAGAAGTCCCTTGCGTCTTCATGGCTTTATCGCCTTACTTAGGACGAATTGATTAAAAAAAAATGTAGATGGATTTTGGAAAACTGACAGGACATCGCTGAAAACATTCTGGACAAAGTCATTAATAAAATGCTGCATCGCGAACCGTAGTGAAGATGACATCATTTTGGGGGAAAAGGATCAAATGACTCAGTAGAAAATAACCACAGTGAAAATAATGAAGACGTATAATAAATTAACAACATAGATGAATCTATCAAGATCACTGTGTTTGGCACAAATCAGGCTCGAATGTGCTTTATATCCATGGGGATGGTAATCTGTCTATATTTCTGAGATGTGGTATGTACACTATTTACTTATTGGTTATTGGTTTGCAAACAAGATTAATGTTTAAGAAATATTAATTTTTATTAACTTACAATGAAAATTAACTGTTTAAATGCAAAGTAAAATGAAATTATATACATGTTTCTAAATATTCAAACTGACGACTAACACTTTCCAAACACAACTGCTAACCCTGATCAATGGATTCAACAAAGTTACGAAACATTTCACTGAGAACTGTGAAACATTGTCTTCCAATTTCCTCTTTCAGCTCATCGACCGTTGCTGGTTTTGTGCCGTATACATTATCTTCAAGGTATCACCCCCCCTTAAAATTAAGTCCATTGCAGTGAAGTCTGGCAGAACACGCAGAGAATTCAATTGTCATTGCACTTATTTAATGTTTTCTTGCTTTTAATAACACTTTAGGAAAAATCTTCTTTCTTCAAAATTTGGTTCTATTCCTGCTATTATTAGGGTACATTGGATATGGAAAAAAAGTAAAAAAGTTGGTATATTTTGGGGGACACCGTATGTATATATATATATATATATATATATATATATATATATTATATATATAACTGATTTAAAATATTTTTTCCTTACACAGTCATAATTATGTTTCAAAACTGAAGTTAAAAACTTTAAATTTAATAGATTTTTTATGTTTACGTGATTCTCATCTATTGAGAATTTCGAAAAAATAAAAAACATAAAAATCTATATTGGTTGCACAAGCCATGAGTTCAAAAAGAGGTTCAATCAACATCAAACTTCATTTAGGATAAATAAATACAGAAATCAGACATCCCTTTCAAAATATTTCTGGCACTTAAAAGAATCCAATAAAACAGCTACAGTAAAATGGAAATTAATATGAAAAGATAGACTATGTAGGTCATTAAATCACCCATGTCCTTTATGCATACATGAGAAACTACATATTGCTAAGTTTATAAAAAATAAAAAAAAATTACTGAATCCGAGAAATGTAATAGCTATTCTTTGCTGTCATTGTCAAATTTTTTCCTTAAATAATATTTTAAAATAAAATTTAAAAAAATGGGAGCTGGTAATATACATACTTATATTTGATATGAAAAATGTTAAAATAATTTAAGTAATTCTATTACATTTACTTGTTTTAAAAAGAAATATAGTCTATTAGTAATTAAAAGTAAAAATATTTTAAAATTGTAGGTAAATAAAACGTATTCTAACCCAAACACCCATAGGTAGAATCTTTAAGTTTACAAGTACGAAAAAAAAATGCCGAAAAACCTTTGTGACGTCCCTAAACACAGCCTTCGCTCGCTCCTCGCTGCTTCGTTCGGGTGTCGCCGCTCCAAACGTGATATCCGCCGGTCGCGTCAGTCGTGTTGTCTCGTCCTGTGCCGACCAACTGGCTTGGTATTGGTCGCGGCACCCAAATGTGACGTTCTAACCTTTTGGGTGACTCGGATGGGAATCTGGTTAGATTCGATATCAGCCTCGTCGTTCCCAACTCGCTTCCAACGTCTGGTTACCAAAGTAACTGCGTTGATCTCCAATCTGCCTACCCACGTTGTGAATTGATCTTAGGCAGACGAAATCAATCAGTCGTCAGGGCCGTAATACAAGTTGGGTCCAAGCGGGGGTGGTATCGCACAAATACGTATAAAAGAAATAAAAAAGTTCAAGGTATCAAAGAAAAGGATAACAAACTTTATGTCTAGTTGTTGGATACATAGGACTGCGTCTATCTCCCGACCTGTTCTATGGATTGTGACACGTTGTTTTCCGTTAGGCGAGTTTTAATACTTCAAGTTGTTTGCTCTTTAAGAAATTGTTTTTTTGGTGTGTCTTCGGGCGAAAGTCGAAAAAACTTATTTGGTGGTCTGGATCTACGTCGTTCTTCAAAATAATTGTTCTTGGATTGAAGATGAGTCCGGAAATTGCGCGAATCTTTGTCAACCGATGTGAGGCCTGCTTCAACTGAGTCTGACTCTGGGAACTGTCTCTACCGAACTGGAACTGATTTCTGCTCTCTGCGACTTTGCTTATATGGACGCCGGGGTGGGTTTGTCGGCGCCAGGGGTTCCTCGATAATTCTAAATACATATCTACTTCTTTTATTTTTGGTTAGGAATTTTCCACTTCTTTCCATTTTTGGAAGTCTTCTCTTACTCCCACCTTCTCACCATACTTCAGAGGGGCGTGAACTGCTCTCCCCACTTCTTCGTAGCAACCTCTCATACCCATCCTTTAGATGGGCGGCGTCGTGATCACCACTCGGCCAATGATGTCCAGCCGGCGTATGCGATCCCGCGGCCTTTGTTTCAAGGAAAAAAAATATATCTTGTTCAAAAAAAAAATTATCTTTTCCTTTTCCTTTTCTTTCTTTTAATCGCAGTTCTCATTTTCTCTGGCCGCAAATAGAACAATGCGATCGGTGGTGGTCATAACTCTTGTTCTCACCTGGACTTCGTCAGTCATCTTGTCGCTAATTATCAGAATGGGTGGTCTAGCGAAACACAGTCGACCGTCGTCTCGAAAAAAAGAAAAGTTCCATTGTCCCAGCCGTATTTGCATTCTTGGTGCCAATTTCTGATAACATAGTTCTGTTATCGCAGCCAAAGATGTCCTGTCAAAAAAAAAAAAAACGTCAGCCGTTACTTCGTGTGCGGCTCAGCAGACGACACAGTTAATTTTTCATATCTACCCAGAGCCCTGTATTGCACCTGTTCTTTGTCAATTATCAAAATAACATTTTTAATTGGAGTCTTTCTTGGCTAGTCGGTCTGTGGTTTGCTAATTAGATGTATTCCGCATTGAGATGCTCTTATCT